AATCTGGACAAAAAGAAATAATATCCTTCAATTATCTTACAAGCCTGTACGTGACTGCTTCATTAGGTTGAACTGTGGTTATTTTATACCCTTTGTTTTTCTCTAATGCAAACAACAATGAAATAACAGAGATACCTGAAAGTCTCCAGTATAACTGCTGATTTATAAATTAAAAAAAAATAATCCATTGTTTAAATTATATAAATGAGTAACCAGACAGAGCCAGGAAAATCTCTTTCTCATGATGTGTGTGTGTGTGTGTGTGTATGTTTTAAGAAGCCCTACCAAAATCAGTCCAATTTTAGGGCACTCCAAAAATTCACTGAGAGTTTTGGACATTAATTCAATCCAGTTCTTCTATTCTCCTTGTTTATTAGGTGTTTAATTTTATGGGGATACATATGGTAGATCTGGCATTTTAAAAAGCTATATTAAAAAAAAAAAAAGGACATACACTTAGAGATCCCATAACACTGTGCTCTATACAGCATGCCGATGAGTACTGCTTATTATTATTCACGTAATGGCTTGTGTTAGAGCCTCAGAGGATTGAACTGATAATGGTAGTCCCTGTCGTAGGAGCCCGGTGGCCCTGGGAAGGCACAGGGAAGCACATCGGTATGCCTCAGCCACCGGACTGAGGACCCTTGAAGGCCATGCCCCAGCTGGTGGTCAGGCAGGCAGGGCTGCAGCGAAGCTGATGAGTGGTGCAAGGCACGGTACCTCCCGCAAATCGCAGCGTAACTCAGCACGCTTTTAGCAAAAATTGCAACCAGCAAGTTGTGCAAGAGCAGGATCGTGAAGCTTTAGAAGCTGTCACAAGGTTTTGGTCTAAAGGCGTGGTTGTGGGTTATACGCCGGTAAATAAGCACCAGAGTGCTGCCAAAAATATATTCAGAAAATGGAAAGCGGCTGCTACGTTTGCGCTTCAGCCAAAAGATGATGGCCATACAAATGCAAAAGTGCATTGACAGGTCCTGCCGGTTCCAAAAGCACAAAGACAAACCAAGTTGTTAAAAAAGGAAATCACTTCTGGCTTTCTGCTGCTGAGCAGAGATTTTCTGAAGGGAAAGGCTTATGAAAAAATGTCTGGCCCTGGGTTTTTTTAATTGATTTATTGATCTTTAATGAGGCCAACTTTCGATGTTCTATTAGCCAGCCTTTATCACCCCCCATTATCTTCAGATTTCATTGCTGCTCTGTGATTTTATTTAGCTTCTCCAGTAACTTATTTAATCTATAAACTCCTTTCAGTACTCACTACATTTGCCTAGCAACTCTCTCAATTTTAATATTATTAGCTATGTCTTATAAAACCAGGATGCTCAAATGCTTTTCATTCCTCTTCTGTTGTTGCAGATCCTTGACAGCTTGGAACACTCAAGTCTTTATCTTCTAACTCAGTGCAACTCAGCAGGGGAATTGCTTCTGTGAAGTACTGAAATGCTGGTACAGGTTACACTACCTGACTTTTGGCCTCTGCTTGGACACAACTTTTCCACGTCTAGTAATAATGTTTGCATGGTGATGTGTTGACTATCAACTAGCAGCACCACTGAGGTAATGTTCTTGGCAAAGGCATCACAAACTGAGGACCACGTAGAGCTGAGTACCTGCTGCTGTACTTTTTGCAAGATGCTCCAGGTCATTGTAGATTTGCAACTCAACACTCATTAAGTTGGTGCTACATTTGCAGCACCTGTATTTAGCTACATACCTCCCCTGTTAATGGTTCTATGAAGCAACGGAGACGTGTCATCTACTCACATGCTGTTGTCAAACTCTCATTGAATGCTGGGGCACTGGGATGGCTTTCTGTCTCTGCGGTAGAAATCGGCGCTCCTGCTTAAAAACACACAAGCTTGTAAAAATTGCTGTAGAGCACCCTGTTGCTTGTTCTTCATTTCCCCCTCTTTCTTCCCTGTTTCCTGCCTACAGGTGTCAAAGAGTTGTAACCTATGACCTGAGATGCTGGCTTCCCTCAGACAAGCACCACAAAGTTTTGTGTCTAGTCTGTCACAAGCTAGAAACTCAAGAGGAGTTTGGTGAGACAGATGAATAAACTTTGAGAAAACATATGGGGCATTTAGGCATGCTTTTTTGGATTTCAGCTGAGTTTCAGCTGAAACTCAGTTGTTCCAATTGCATTGGCTTCTTTCGACCTGAAGCCAATAGAGTGCGATGAGCAAATGTACACAAATCAGAATTTAGACAGGGTTTCACCAGTTCCCATGGGACAAAACTGTTTTCCTGACTAGCAAAGAGAAGTTTTGAAGAAGTTAGTGTACAGGAGTCACACCTGCAACACGTGGTGCCAAATACCAACGTATTTAATGTTTTCCTTTAATCTTTTTTTAAAGTGCTAAGTATTCTAGAGGTGAACTACCTATTTATCTGATACTCAAACACAGACAGATGGTGGTTAGCAAGTAGACCTCTATTTTCCCAAGAGGACTACTTCACATTTACTAAAAAGCGCCCATCTTTCCTAACACCTGCCTCGTTTTTGGAACAGTACCATTAAGCCATCTGAACAAATCTGAGAAGGTGAAATGCAGCTGTAACCCAGCTCTCAAAGCCTGAGCATCTCTGAGCTCAGAGATGGAGCTATCATGGAAGCTAAGCAAAGACCAGGCGACAGTTTTACCAGCCTTGGTTTTTGTCTCCCCTCCTCCTTCTCCTGTCTGTATCTGTGCACTCTTCCCGATTCCCAACTCTCTTGGATTTTCTTTAAAAACTTGCTAGTTATCAGCAACAGAATCAAACCCCTCTGTACAATGGCAGACTGGGACCTGGCATCCTGACTCAGCCGCAGCCCAAGGGGTCTGCTCAAAAAGCTGATGGTGGCACCGGCGCGGGGACCAGCAATGAGCCAGAAAGGAGAAAAACTAACCCATGGTCGGCACATCATGACTGCCACATGCTAGGGGCATTGGTTAAAAGGCAGATGTTTCCTGCGCTATTTACAGAAGAGAAATGGTTCAGCGCTGGCTTACACTGTGATTTTGACCTCGTGCCTCCTCAACCAAGTGAAGATGCATAACCCAGTGAGGAGAATCCTCTCTGTTCACATTGTGTATTTATAGCCTTTGTCGTGAAATTGTTTGCTGAGACAGAAGGGCTTTCAGTCCACTTGGACAAGTGCTTTGCTGCCCTGCTGGGCAAGTGTCTTGGGAATGGGGAAGGCAGCGTGAGAAGCAGCAAACTTCAATTTCAGTGCTGCTGCAATCTGTGTTCCTGCCCTGGCATGTGTCAGTCTAGCTTCTTCATGCCCCAGGGCTTTATATTAAGTGATTCGGCTCCCAAACAGCACTCTGCTGGGGCAGGACAAAGCCTTGTGTTCAAGCATCTTCCGCCAGTATCAGCCCCACACTGCCCATCGCATTACTTGTGCATCTCTGGGTGAATACTGCTATAGCATTACTTTAAGTTATAGGTTACTTTAATTGAAGACTGCAGGACTGAATTATTCAGCTTAAGGAGAACATTCAATGCCTCACAGGTTCATGAAAGTTAGTCTGTTGCAATGGATTTTTTTTTTTTGTTTGGGAGAACAAGACTGCTGCAAACACCAAGGTCCAAATTCACTCTTGCTGGCTGCCACTGCAGTGGTGGATCATTTCCCAGCCAAAGCTCTGGTGCTGCTGTAGAGGCAGCGTTTGACACCAGCTTGCCACCTTGCCTCTTCCCCATGCTGCCTGCCCTGCTGTTTCACACGGGCTGTTTTGTCTCCTAAATAGGAGCGTGTGCCATGCCTGCATTTATTCAGGCTGCGTGGCAGTGGGTGCACACCTTTGCTGCTGGTGAGGGCAGCCCCAATGCCCTTCTAACCCCTGCTTAAAACCTACCAGTCTTACCGGGATCAACAGCTGGGCTTCAAATGGAAGGAGACTTTAAAGAAAAAAGTGTTTGCAGACAGGCTGTGCTGCAAGAAAATGCACTCTGCTGGGACTGGTGGGCATCCACCCTTTAATCTGGGATCAGGAGGCAGTTGGTTCACAGCTTCACTTGCTCTCAATTCAGGCTGCTGCCAGGCTGTCAAGTGCGTGCCAGCCGCCAGTGCACGTATCCCTCCCCGGGGAAGGGAGGTTAAACCCCTCCAAGTGAGTCACCCTGCCCTCCGCTGGCCTCAGTGTCACCAGCCCAAAGAAGAAATCACTGAGTTGAGTCATCTGCTGTATTTTGTTTATCGGTGCTTTGTATTTGTAATCCTGTGCTCCAATGTTTGGGTTGCACTTTTTCTAGCTCTAATATCATTCTGGTTTTGTATGATATTTAATTAAAGAGATACAAGGAAAAGGTATTGTAAAAATATATACTCGATGTCCATTCACTTGCTGAACCTAATACACATATCCTGAACAGAGCATTAAAAAAGATGAAATCAAGACAGAATCAAGACAGCATTTTCTCTTTTTTTTTTTTTTTTTTTAACTGTGAAGTTCCTAGTGGATAATGCAAAAGGAAAAGGGCTTCAGTGGGCATTAAATTGTTTGCTACAAAAAATTCAAGATGGTTGTTGTGTTCATGCATCTTTCTCCTACATTCCTGAAGCAACAGAGAAAACGTTTTATTACCTTGTGTTGTGGAAGCAGGAGCCAAGCTTGCTTGACTTGTGAAATCTAGAGAGGTCAAAGATGTAGACTGATGCTCTAAAGACAAACAGATTGCACGGTGTCACATTTAGATGATAGGGTCTTTTAAAAATAATATTAATAAATCATAAAGCAACCTGGATCAAGGAGCTTGCAGTAGCTGTTGGGTTAACATGGACTCTGTGGTAGAAATCCCACTGTCAGAGTTAAGGTTAAATGCTCAAAACACACCCCACAAATTCAAGGGGCAATTGGAGACTGCTGACTTTATTAATGAAGACCCTTTCACATGGGCTAGCTGTGTGCATTATTTATTTACGTTTTTATACTCGGGGTTCAATGTAACTGCTGTGGGGTGGATTTTGCACTTGATGATGGCGCTCCCCCGCCTCGCCAGGGCCTGGCCAGAAATGGTTCTGACAACACGCGGCAGTCATATAAGCCCAGGAGATCGCCTCCTCTTGCTGGTTTTCCTCTCAGTTGCTGAAGATAGTTTAATATAGTTGCTCATATGCATGCTCTGGTAAAGAAGTGGTATTTATCTTATGTCATTTATGAATGGGAATGATGCGCTTCTATTGGGTCAAGGAAAAGCGGTGGTTTTAACTTTTCTATCATCACATGCACCTAACTGCTGTAATAGGACAAATTTATTCACAGTTGCATAAGGGGTTTTATTCCATTTCATAAAAAGGCATAAGAATAAAATGTGATATTCAGCATGCCGTTTTATGTGCTGTCCTAACATGACAGTTTTAGCAGGATTTGTGTTGTATCTCTTCTTGGGTAACTTCATAGCTCGCAAATTCCCATCCAGCAGCACACAGGTACCATCAATACCAGAGCGCACTGACCTTTCCCTGGCACTCCTCTGGCTTTGTGTACATGACATTTAAGCACAGGTCAAGCAGAGATCATACATCTATTGACTGAGTAATAAAGAAGCCTTCCCCCCCCCCTTACCTGAGGTAGTCATGACAGCTGATGGAAGTGCTGAATTTCCAAGGTCTGTAAAAAACCAAAGCAATCATTTTTACTCAGTGAGAAAGGTGCTTATTCTTCTTTAGAAAAGTGGGTCATTCAAGGGTTCAAGAGTGAGACAGAGTGCATCACATTTAATTTCCAAATAATCTTTCAATGCACAACCCAACCAAGTGGTCCAGCAAGAAACAAGAAGCACCTGAGGTAACTGTGCTGTGAAATCCCTAGGGAAACAAATGTTTGGAGCCTCGGGCACCTCCAGTCCGCACCTCAACTCAAAAAGCAGGAGTTACATGGTTTTATCCTGTACAAGCAGAGGCACCTTATTGGCATGCAGGTTGAAATAACAGATATGACCGGGTGGTGGCACCTGCATAGCTCCATCTGTGAGGCATTTCAGAGACTGCAAGCCTGACAGGAAATTTTAGGGGCACTTTGCACTGAAAAGTGCTCACTGAGTCCTCAAAAAAGGGGGGATAGAGAGGGATTTATTCCTTCCAATTAAAAGACTGTTAACAAGCCAGCCAAGCACAGCAGAGACACCGTCCTGCCCAAGCAGTATTTACATCCTGAGTAAGAGTTGTCTCACTTTTTTTTTGCCCAGGAGGTGAAGCAAAGTACCCCTGAGTAGGTTAGGAGGAAGGATTAAACCTCCCCAAAGGACTCCATGAAGGAGGTGAACCATGAAAGCTTGCACACCCCATTAGAAAAATTTATCTGGGATGGTAGCCCAAGTTCCTCTGTGTGGTCAGGCGTGTTGGGAGGGCAATGGACAGGGAGTGACCCTCTGCAGACAGGATCTTAGCATAAGCAGATAATCATCAACTCTCTGGCTGCTTTCTTTGGCAAGCATTGGTACCTCCTTTGACCGCTTTGAGCGTCGCTCTTCCATTTGCGCTTCATTTTAGCCTCACCTGTGCTAACAGGGATTTTGTAGTAGCTGGCTAACATAAGAGGATCCCTAACCAAAGATGCAGCGGGTCTAAGCCTGGGGTAGCAGGGCACCTTGAGGCGTGCCCAGCTCCCAGTACGTTACTGCGGAGCGTGCGAGGCGAAGCAGGATGGTGACCTGACGCAAGCTGCAAGGACTGCTTAGAGAGATCACCTTGCAGAGGCCAGCAGAGGACAAAGCCTCTCTCTCAGGGACCCCTGGGTACCTGGGATGGCTTTCTGGTGTCCAGTAGGGTACTGGCTGAACCCCCAGGGCTCTGCCACAACCCTCACCCACAGGAGCAAGCTTACACAGAAAACCACACTTCTTTCCACGCCGTCTGTCTGCAGCGTTTCGCTGACGTGCTCGCATAACCCACCGCTGAAATGCAGCTGCCTCCTGTGCGGAGCAGAGCAGAGCAAGCCGCCCCAGGAGAGGCGTCTCCAAAGGGCTTCGGCTGAGGTGTGGAGGGAACGATTTATCTGTCTGCAATAAGCTGATAATAAGACGAACTCGCAGGGGCAGAGCGTGGATTTGCCAAATTTACACAAATTAAGAAACATCCCATCAGTTCTTTAATTAGGCAAAAGTGTTGGGGATCTTGGCTGTGTACTTAAGCAGAAGGTAGAACCATTAGTAGGGCTGTTATTTTTAATTATCTGTTCAGTGCTGAAAGAGCTATATTCAAATGCCAGCTGAAGCATCAGAAATAACATTAAGCGCTCCTCAAGGCTGGAGGTATGCTCAGGCTTAATTATGATAGATTACATCACCAAAATATCTGTTTATTGTATTTTCTCTGAAGTCATAGCTGCAGAAAGGGGTACCTTACCACCCATCCAGAAGCAAGTTTGCAAAACCATTTCTCCAACAGCTTTAGGAATTTATAGACGCATCTCTAACATAACCCAAGTTACTTTGTTCTCTGATTTATCCTACCTTCTGAAGCCGTGCTGGCAAAATCTTCGAATGAGGCTTCATTAGACTTATTGTCTGTGAAGGAAAAAAAAAAGGAAGATGAAAGCAGTTCTTAAAAGTAGTTAGGCTTTTGTTATCAAGGCTGAAATTTTAGTTTGGGGTTTGTGTCATACTGCGTATTAATACAGCACCTTCACAGAACATAGCTGAGAATTAATTTAATTCTTTCTTTTGTGTCGCATCTAAATGCATTAACATTTTTTATACAGGGTGGATCTATCTTGGCATTAGTATACCCTACAGGCAAGAATGTAGACTTCTTTAACTGACGGCTCTCCGATTTGAATACATTTCTGCAGAACTGCAAATTGGGTGAAATGAGTAATTTTGGAGAAAAATGATCATTTACCTCCCTTTTTATTTCCAGGAGAGTAGGCTCTGTCTTTTGACGCTGTCTTTCTTGGCGGAGAAACGTGCCCACCAGCGTGCCCGCAGCCGTAGATGAAGGCGGCCGAGCTGCCAGCGGCCCCCGCCGCGGGTGACCGTGCCCCTGGAGGCTGCTGAGGGGCAGGAGTTCAGGGGCGCTCTCTGTGCAGCCCCGAGCAGGAGGAAAGGGGTGACTGTGCATTCGCACCTGCAGGCGAGGCGTGCACGAGAGGGTGCTAAAGGCTATGGGTCTGCCCTTCCCGCCAGCCACCCTGCGTCCTCAGACAGGCCATAAACCTTGGGACCGATGCTTCTCCTGCTTTCACTCGCTGCTTGAGGTAGCATTTCCCCACGCTTCCCTAATCATATGGCTAATTCTTGTAGTACGGGGTATAGGGGGGGTTTTCTCCTTTGCCCCAAGCAATTTAACTGCTTTAGGGGCCTTGTGTGGGTTCAACTGAAGATGTACAAGGTATCCCTGACTCTGTGGGTTTCATTTTCCAGGGAGCTTCATTGCACACATGCAGACTTTCTGCCAGGAGTGCTCAGCGAGCAACACATGATTATAATAGCTCACTGGTGCCATGTGGCTAAGCTAGTGTATTTTTGGGAATGGGAATTGCAGCAAGATACTCCCTAAACAAACAGCAAGCGTCTTATATTTTTGCAGGGTTTTCTCAGCTCATTTAGAGTCTCGAGCAAAGGCTCGAGCTAAATAACCTGCCAGAAAGTTCAAGCTGTGTGATGAACTTGTATGAAAACCTCCTTCCATACACCTGGCATTTCTTCACTATTTTAAATAACAGAGAATATGCGTGTTCAGTGCTCTTAACATTTTACATTTCAGATGCATTCCATCTATGAAAAACCTACCAAGGGAAACAAATATTTCTTCTGATGAAATATTCCATGTTGAGTTCCCGAAAAAGGAAAACAGACATGCACATGAGAATGTCTTATGTGTCTGGTGGGTCCCTTGCAATGTCAGCGTTGATCTCAGCTGATAGAAACCTTCACTGTCTTGCAAGTCTTCTTGTTCAACAGAAATTTCTTGAGGAAAGAAAAAAAAAAAGAAAAGCTGCCAGACCCTCTCATTACACTCCAAACTGTAAGTCAGAGCTGTGCAAAATATTGGTATTGAAAAGCAAGCTCATATGGCTGCAGGTTTCTTTGCTGAGACACTATCAAAAAATCGGCAAGAGCAGCATGGTTATGCCAAGCCGTTGTTCCCAACGCTGGCAATTGCAGGGGGCAATGGTTACAGCTGTTTGCCAGCTGTTGCCTTTAAGGAGGTCTGATCCTCCCCTTCACCCTGACGGACACTGACAGGCTGCCCACAGTAGAAGCAAATGAGCAACCGTCGCTTTTTTTGGGAACCCCTTCTACAGCTGCAACATTGTCTTACCAATGGGTTGCATTACCTCCAGGCTGCTCAGTCAGGCTCGTTCTGTCCACATACCACAGGAGGCTCGGTTTGGGAAATGCCTTCCTCACGATGCAGCTCACATTAGGCTATGGGGCAGTAAAAGCCAGTCATTAGCCTTTGGCATTTCTCACCCGGCTGACGGCTTCCAAAATCCCTTCCAAACAGAGCTTATTTCCTCACCATCCCACTCAGGAAGGAAACACTTCCTTCCTCTTTATTGCATTTCTTCCCCCCAAATTTTTCTTGTTGCAGGCACTGTTGAATGAGAGCCCAAGGACACACTCCCATCCCCCTGGGCCAGGCATGGGGCTTCAACACCCTCCAGTCCTGTGCCATGGCACCTTGGGGGCAAACACCCACATGGAGAAACACTGGCATCATTAATAATGGGCACGGGTGTGTGTGCAGGAGAATGAGCCATCTCCCTGATTGCCATGTAAATCCTTCCTTCCTTAGGCAGATAAGGAGGCAAATCCCATGAAAAAGACTGCCTAGCACAATGATATCTTGAATATACAAAATTAGCTACCGTTGTAGAGGGCATGAGATATAAGAGGTTTCCAGATGTCACAAGGAATTGTGTGCTTTAGATGCAGTGGTCCTGGCTGTATGCCAAGTGCTGTGTTTGCGCTCAATTTATTTTCTTACTAAGCAATAGGTGGGAAGGACTGGAGGGAACTCAAAATCAAGGCTGGATGAAGGGTTGGGCACTAGCAGGGTGGGAGATCTCATCCTCGTGCCATCTAGATGTTCCCAATTACATTTATTTAGCAGCTTATGGCATTAAGAGAAATCACCTTGCCCATTTAAAGAAGGAAAAAAAGAAAAAAGCATGTGGTACTCATGCGGCGCAAAGCCCTCTTGCTCCCACTTTTGAAGAACGTGGTTCACACATTTAGTTGAAAGCAAGCTCGATGCATTGCAGACAGCAGACGTCAATCATTCAGTATGAAGACTGAAACTACCTAGCTGAAACTCTTTCCTTGCCATGGTAAATAACCTCTGAACTCATAGTGTAATTGCTTTCCCCTCTTTTCTCTTCATCATTCCCTTATTTTTCAGCCACTTTTAGTTCATAATATTTTTATAAATGCTTCCTGTGACGAAATACAAATCTGACATTCAAAGTAGATTTAAGCCCTGCAAGAAAGGGTGGAAAGGAACTGGTGTTTGTTTGGAGGTGAAGAATGGACAGGGGCCCTTGGAAGAGTCTCTGTTGCCCGGTCCTATGACAACAGCTCCTGGCTGCTCAGCAGAACAGTGCAGACAAAAGCCTGCAGCATCCAGCACCACACCTGGAAACAGGCCACCAGGAAAATTATACTGGTTTTGCAGAACCGACTGGCTCATGGCTCGTCTGACAACAGGTGGATGTGGTTAATACAAGGTTCTGCCTGCCCACAAGTGCTGTTTCCGAGGAAAACTTTCTTCATTTGGGAAGCTCATAGATCAAAAGCTTCTACTTGGATGGATGCAACAGGAAGCAAAGTGTCATAGCTGGTAGCCAGAGTGGCTTGGCTAGTCAGACATATGGGCCACAAATGCTTTTTATGCAAAGTATAGCCAGTGCAGTACAGCAGACTTTCCCTCTGGGTTTTGCCATTGCTAAGCAGGTGATAAACCAAAGGCCCCAAAACACATGGGTAAGCACTCAGCTCTAAACAAGGGCCCTCAAACTTTGATCCAGTCCCTCCGTCGGCACCTGATTGCTCCAGCTGAGCTCTGCTTGGAGCGTTCTAAACAAGGGCCCTCAAACTTTGATCCAGTCCTTCCGTCGGCACCTGATTGCTCCAGCTGAGCCCTGCTTGAAGCATGACACATTATGCCTGACGAGACCATCGCCTTCCCATCCGCACGCTGGACCATGCCAGCAGATGGAGGGGGGGGGGAGGGCACATCGCAGCCCCCTGCAACGCCACCGAGGGCTAACGCAAAATCAGATTTTGCCTAAACCATGGAGAAGCCCTCAGCTAGCTCCAGTTTGTGCTCACTGAAGCAGCTCGCTGCTGCGGGGATGGGAATCGCTCAGAAGAAAGGTTACGAACGGCTGACATTAACTCATTGACTCGCTTGCTGCCCTGTAAACTCCATCAGATTAGAAGTCCTGCCTATGTCTGATTCAGCTTAGCCTGCCTGGCCTTGCTGGGGTGGCACAGTGATGGTCATGGGCATTAAACTTCTCTCCAAAATCACTCACCTTCTGCGAGGTGCCAGCTGAGCCCTCCTGCAGGCTAACAGAGATCTCAGGGTAGGCTGGAAAGCAAACAGAAATGTATTAGTGAAATGGATACCGAAGGTCACAGTAACAGCTTCTAATGAGGCTTAACAGCCTTGTTTCATAAAAAGGGTGAAAATTAAATCCTACATCCACCCACACACCTAGCAAGATAAAAGCTTGCACAGCTCCCATGTGAGGTCAAGGAAGTGGTTTACAAGCGTGTCTCAGATGTACCAGCAGCTACTACCACAAGATCTGTGATGTGTTTCACTGCCTGCCTGAACTACTCTTGGGTGGCTTTGCTGGAGAAGCGAGCTCAAACCATCCTGCCGTCACGGCTCCAGCAGCAAAGCCACCCTTCCCCGGGCCTGCTGAAATAAAACACTTCCCTGCTGTTGGTTCCTCCAGCTGTTTGCCAAGCAAAGTCACCTGTAAAGGCTTTAGCCATCGCCAGAAACATTGATTGATTTTGGGTACCGACTACCCACAGGCCTGTCGCCTGGGCAGACGTGTGACAGCATCACACCACAGACGCTTCCTGCCTTGCCGGGAAGCCCAGAGCTCACCTTCGCATCAGAGCAGGGGGGCGCTGATGACCACATCCACAAGAAATGGAAAAAGTGTTTTCTTTTGTTTTTGCACAAGAAATGGAAAAAAGTGTTTTCTTTTGTTTTCACAGCATTTTGGTTCTAGGCACAGCTGACTGTACAGGTAAAAGCCATCAGGTACAGTAAGCCTCTCAAAGTTGGCATTTCTAAATTAGCCATTGGGGTCACTGGCTTGCAGTAATATTAACTGACTTGTTAAGTAAGGACTGTTGAAACTGGTAATATATGGCAAATCTCAAAAGCCTTGGATAAATTGTGCTTCTGGCCCTTTCTGGGCCTTAAAACCGGACTGGAAACAAGTGCAGCCCCTGGATTGCTTAGGAGATCTGTAATTCTTTCTATTTCCAACCTAAATCTCTACCATTAAGAAAATTTTCTTTTCTTTTTTTTTCTAACCTCTTTCATTGATATAGGGTCATCTCAGTTCATTGCATTCGCCTTTGAGGTGAACTGCTCAAGTTTCCCTGTTGTAGCGAATCCACCAAGCACTCTCCCACCTTCTTTTTTTTAATTTCCATTTTTCTGCTTAGTGTTACTGACAGATTTTGTGTGGGAGTAACCTATATTTAATTATCATGGCCTTATGCTTTTCTGGACTTAGGATACTTTTTGGGTGGCAATTTTTTTTTTTCTTCTGGGGATTTTTTTTTTTTTTTTGTGGTTTCTTCCTATCAGAAAATGAATGTCTTAAGATTTCATCCTTGTTTCAGCTTTGCCAAAACTGTACAGATGGCAGCGGGGCTGGCAGAAGGCAGCCATACTTTTTCAGCTGTAAGAAGAAGTCTGGTAAACTGGATCTTCTAATCACAGCTAAAAGTTGGCTGGGAGACTAAATAACATCTAGTCATTTGTGGTTTTGATGGGAATGGGTGTGCCTTTCCACATCTGTATTGGATGCTGTCCTCTGCTTTCTCAGAAGACGTGTTTGCTGGGTAACTATTCTGGCAGGCAGCTCTCAAGCACAGCGCTGAACGATCTAATAGATATTTTCCATTTAACATCTCAGCCCCTGTTAACAGTTTGACATTCATTTGTCTTGCTAGGATATTTACCAATGTTTTGGGTCTAGCAGAAATTCAATATTTAGTACAGTAGTTTCAGCTGCCGAGCTTTTACTCTTACAAAAAGGAGAAATCAATATTTGGCAAAGTTAGACGTGAAAAGGCCATACATTTTCTCAGAAACTTGTATCTCTGTTCTAGAAAAGAAATATTTTAAAGCATTTGAGTGCAAAAGTACCCTCTTAAAAAAAAGCTCTCTCGATTGAATGTCTGTTTTTACTCAGCCTACAAGACTCTCAACTTCATTAAGAGATTTTTTATGCCTTCCCCATCCTGTCCTGCCCAGCTCTCAGTGGCACTCAGGCCACCTAAAATGCCTGTGGGGAAGCGCCACTGCTGCCTCTCGGACTTGGGCTATCTCCTCTGTGTTTAGCCCCAAAGCATGTGTCAGAGGGAGCCTGCACAAGGAGCTTTCTCCAGGAGACCGTACCTTCCTCTCCCCCTCCTCCTCCTCCTGCCCATTACAGTGCCGTGGTGCTCTAGCTGCCAGCCCTCCCTGCCCTTTTCTCATGCCACCCAGCCCATGGGGTTCAATTGCACAAGGGTTTGGTTGACAGGGGGGATGCTGTCTTGCTGAGATGGGAAAAATCTCCCCAGGTTTCAGCTGGGCTTGGTTCTCTAGCTACATCTTTCTAATGGCCAGGACAACAGATATGACCAATATAATGTGCTGGTGACATTGTATAGGCTTTACTGTCATGCCTTAGATCCTGCCCTGACCGTTTGAGGCTGGGTCTACCTGCTAGGTCATAAACGTTCATTTCATCGTTCCCTGGTCAGCTTTGGCACAAGGAACAAGAGAGGTGCTGTCGTCTGAAGTGGCGGTTTGTCTGTCCCCAAATGTCAAATGGAGATTGCTGGATTATTCTGGCCACTGCCTCTGCCTGTTCCCTGCCAGCTCCTGCCCTGCCAGTGCATGGGCGTGTGGGCACAAGGGAGGCTCTGGAGCTTCTGCTCTCGGTCTCCCGCTGCAGCACAAGAGAAGTAAATGGAGAAAAGCTGGTAGGATGCAATCATAAGCAGTGTGACTTCAGGGAATGGTGACAGAAAAGAGCGGGACAGCGTGCAATATAGTTATTTTGCCTGAAAAAATATCAGACCTGAAAGGGCTAAGAGTACAAAAATGTGCTTCTTCCAAGGTCTGGATGCCATTGGCCTGAGGTCTGAGAGAACTTTCTCAGCACCCACCACCAGAAACCAGCTCTCAGGGAGCCCCCCCCCCACCTAACCCTGCCCTCAGGACACCTGCGAGAGAGGCTGACAGTGCGGCACCCCAATCCAAAGCCAGCTGGCACCCACTGGGAGCATCCCAGGCTGTTCGCCACTAAGGGCCATGGTTGCTTCCTCTTGTTTGCCTCTCTCCCCTGTTGTACGAATATGTTCATGTGGGTGCAGGCACAGACAACCACACGTGACACAGTAATTCCGAGACTAAGCCAAATAAAGCAACCTTTTAGACTAATAGATACACAAACCAAGGCGAGGGCATCAGCAGGGATGGAGGGGGGGAAGAGTACAAGTATGTTAGTGTACTTGAATGATTACCCAGGTAACACTGTAGCTATTTGGCAAATGTTGATTTTTAAAAGTAAGACCCATGTCTGAATCATGCAAACGCAAGAAGAAATTTCAGATCATTAACTTCTATTTTTATTTCTCTTGCGTCAGTGACCAACAGCCCTCAGACACAGGTTTTGCTTTTTCTTTTTTTTTCCCCTGCTCCCTGTTGAATCTTTGCATTCAGAGCCCTATCCTCGCATGGCTGTACTGTTCCCGAGCCGCAGGCTTTCTCGGGCAAGCAGCTACAGCCAAGGGACTGTTGACAGACTACTGTTTAACACCCATTCATTTTAGAAGCATTGGAGACATGTTTTCCAGACCCACTGCTCTATAAGCAGAAAATACAGCCTGGTTTTCAGTGGGCAGCATTGGTCTGGTTTGCTTGTACCTCAGCAATTGTAGAATAGTTCCTAAGCCACTAGAAAGGGAACAGAGCAAGCAACTAAACGGGGGAAGGCTTCCAGCATGAAATGCCAGCCCACATGTTTGTGCTGCATGGGCCCTGCCTCTCCTGACCAATTTGGGATCCTTAGGCAGGACCTCATCTTCAGAACCAGACCCTTTGGCAGAAGTTGAATATCACATGCCTTTGAGGATGCAACTTTGCAACGATGGCCGTTCCAAACCTCTTTAGCCGCTCACTAAATTTTGGCCATGATTGCCTAACTACAGGCAGCATGGTCATTTTGTATCTGGGGCTCAGAGGTCTTGGTGACCGAGGTGCTTGCCTGTAACCTGCAAAGTGCCAACACAAGCTTACACATCAGGGTGAGACAGTGGCAATGTGCATCCCAGTGGTGTTGATATACGTGCAATGGATCTACTATTTTTGATGCCAGAAACAGAAGGAATGGCCTCAAATTCTTCCTAAGAACTATGGGGTTATTTACTAACATTTTACATCATTACAGCTGAAAAAAATACAATGTAAATAAATATATATAACCCCCCCCAGTGTATTTCAAAAGCTATTGCCTTCAGAACCAGACAGAAGCGTTACCTTTCCAAGTGCAAGTAAGTGGGCAGTTGGCATAAGCCCCTTACCGAATACTCTCACGGTGGTGCTGCTCTTCCGGACCCTCTCTGGCTGATACACCACATGGCAGGAAAACACCCTGCCATCATCCATGATTTTAGTGGGGAAAATCTTCAGAGTGTTATTCAAACCCAGGTGGACTCTTTGCCTGTACAGCACGCTGCTGTTCTTGTACACTGCAGGACAGGAGGGCTCCAGCTCTATTCCCTAGCATTGCATAGTAGTAAGTAGATATCTGCAACATCTATTTTTGTCCAAATACATGCTCTCTCAGAACATCAAAACCAATAGCGGTCATCATCTTACCAATAAACTATGGAGTAAATAGCGGTGTCTTGTGAGTTCTGACCTCTGTAGCCTGCAGAGAGGGCAACAGAGCTGCTTTCTCACTGCAGCAATCTTTAAATTATGCTGAACATCCCATACATATTAAATATGACTGAAATACCAAGAAAATCCTTGCTCTTTTAGATTTTAAATAGCAAGAAACTGATAATGATAGCTAAGAGTCATCTCTTAATGCCTGTGGGCCAGCCACCCTTAGATATAGGTGCAGCTGGCACATCCTGGACATCTGTGCCTTGGTACATATTTGCAAGCTATACTCTGAATGACGCATGACGACCCATATATGTCACTGTGCTGACCTTTGGGTTTTGGGGTTTTTTTTTCCCCTTCCTCTGTTGCTTTGTAGAGTGAACTAGCAACACGAAAAAGCAGTAAGGACAAGGATGTTCCCGACAAAAATTTTAAGAATATTAATATTAATAATGCACTGCAAAGGAGGGATCTAAATAGATAATGAGCTGGGGCAAAAGATTAAAAAACCTAAAATATTTGAAAGTCACCTTTAAGAAAACCCTCAAGAGTTACAGCTCCTCAGTGACAATAGATAGAAATTAACAGGCAAAGCTCAAGGACACTGCTGGCTGATACTTATCTCTACATACTGAAATGAATGCTAAAAGTTTATATTAAAACATGCATGCAAATATTTATCCAGAAAGTGAGATGCAGTACAAAAATATAACAAGCCTTATATCTCACAGCAAATTGCTTAAAAATAGTTTTTATGTGGTTAACTAGATAACTGGGTTCGCATGTCTTTGGTGTGCATCTGTGACACAGAGGTTAACAAACCCAAAAACATTACAGTCAGCCCCCCTTTTTTTTTCCCTATTTCAAAGCATCCTGATATCGCACTACCCTACGCAGTAACCGTGTACTTTTCAGAGATACTAAAGCTTCACGACAGCAAAACTCCCTGAGAAATCCAACGCAAGGAATATTTTAGTTCTGTTACATTTGCTGAGTTCTTTGCCACTTTCTATGGATCTGCTCTATAGGTAGTCCCAAAAAATTGAAAGCAATTAAGATGGAATTTTCCGTCTTTGTTTCTTGAACAGCTACTGTTTGTGGTGTCTATTTTGCAAAACCATGTTTGCACTTCTTCCCGTTATTATCACAGTCCAATGCGACTGATACCTTTTGTTTAGCAGATTCTGCAGGACAGCAAAGCCTAACATTTCTATTTCAATCTGCAAAACTACCCTGTAGTTCCTTCTGATATTTATACCTGAGATGAAAAATACTTACCACTAGCCATTTCAAAGAATAACTGGATAAATTTTCTGAGGTCGTGTCCTCAAGGCATGGAATTTCTAAAGTCTGGTTTAACCACACTTCCTTCACGTAGTGCTGCTCCTCTTTTGTCATTGCAACAACAACAACAAGAAGACCAAGAAGGAAAATCAGAAACATGGTGTTCACTGTGCTTTAAAAACCAGTGCTGACTCGTTTTCTGTTCAAGGGACAGACACTCTTTTGATTAGAAGGGAACTGTAATTTTGAACCATTACCCAAAGACACATTTGTTAAATTAAAGCCCTGCATCTGATTCTAGATGCAGTTTCATGACTCTAATTCACGGCTTTACCTGAGTTTTTGGGCAATTCATAAAAACCTTTGCTTAACTGCAGGATCAAGATGTCTCCTTTTGGAGCTGAGAATAATTCAAAGATTCAATTTTCCTCTTACAATTTTTTTCTGCGGCAATAAACCTTCACATCAATTTTGTGCACCTGTATTTCTTTTTCTCTGAAGATACCCGCAGACCTTCTTTTCACTTAAGCAAGGTGTTCAGCGAGTCAGGCAGGTTAAGATTAACCCCGTGTTTCAGTGTAAGTGCTCCTTTTGTTATTCTGCACCCTGCCCACTACCAGAAGCAGAGAACTTGCCACTCGTTCCTTTGTCATCTATTTAAAAAAAGCATTTCAGCATCTCCTACCCTACCCATTCCCAGTCCAGGGCTCCAGCCCACCCATGGAAGGGCAGAGCGAGGCACCGACCAGAGCACAGCTGCGGCTCCAACCATCGGGGCTGCGTGCGTGTGTGCATTTGAACAGGAAGAGCAGCGGTGATGGCCAGGAGATGCCACGAGTGCCTCAGTGAGCACTGGTCTCTCCCACCCTCAGCCCGGCGGCGGGCAGTAGCACCGTGCAGCCTCCCTGCCGCAGTGTGCCTGCTGCCGCGGTACCCCACAGACCTGCCTTCTTCCCTCTTCCCTGTGGGCAGAGAGGAGCCCACACTGCGGGGAAAGTCTGGGACTTTGCTCCCCTGGTAGCTCTGGCTTGCGTGCCGAGATAAAATAGATAGATATTTTATTTATTTTTTTATCTTGAGGCGGGGGCGGGGGGGAATATCTGGCAGTGCCAAGCTGTTAGGTTACTTGGCAGTGGGGACTTTCTGGTGACTGTAACTTCCTTTATGTCTGGCACCCACGCACGGAGTGACAGCGCCAGCACGCAGCCTGTGCCACAGGGACGTGAAGAAAGGCAGCACCCAGGGTGGTGCCCAAGAGACCCAGCAGTGGAAGCCGCTCATCTCCACTCTCCACCAGGGCGAAGCAGCTGAGGAGTCAGCTACCACAGTGGGACACAGAGTGCACAAGCCCCGAAGGGGCTGGGTAGTGCGGAAAGGATAAAGAAAGGGCAAAGGCAGTGAATCCATAGCTCCCTAAGGAAGAAAGCTGCGCAGGAGACTTTGCTGGGACAAGCTACCATGCAGAAGTGGCATGCAGCGTACGAGAAGTATGAAGATGAGCGGTCACCCCAGGAGCTCGGTCTGCAAACAGCCTCTGCCTGTGCTCGCAGTCGCATGTCCCAGCTGCTTATTTTCCCCCATCTTTGCTTCCCATCTCCACTAACAGCCTGTTGGCTAAGGTCCTCCTTGTTTGTCAGTCCTATGTAGGCCTGCTGCTCTGCGGGCTTTTTGCGGTATCTACAAGTTGAATCCATATGGATTCACTTCACTTTGAAGTAGTTGGGAGCTGTACGTCATTAATGACTAACACCCTTCTCCAACCCACTTGTAGGCTGAATTAAGGTCTTCTGCCTTCTTTGGAGTGGAAGAGGTTCATTACAAAAAAGATCTGGTTACCTTAAAATACAAATCTGCAAGAGGTATGTTACAAACCGAATTTTTTAGTTCTCTCTAGCAAGCAGTTATCAGTAGCACAGCTTGCTACATCATGCAGTTGCTGAAAAAAGCCACAATGATGCTGGTAGGAACAAGAGCTGCCCACGTTTAACGTGTAAATAGCAATAATGGCATTGAACAGTCTAGTATCAACCAAGGGCACCAGCAAGAGAAAAGTTGCCTGATTAGCACTATTACTGTGTTAAGGAAGAGACAGAGAAAAATCACGCCAAGAACAGAAGCATGGGAGGGTTTCATGCAGTTACCAGCACTGTTTGTACCTCACTGCTCTCATCCTGATCCAGCCGCTCTGCCCTGTGAAGCATGGGAAAATTCCAAAGGGGAGACTGCCAGCACACCCCTGTAAAGCAGGTAAAGCAGCAGCTTTGTCCTTGACACAATTATCCAGCATGTATTGTTTAAACACACCCATCCTCTATGGGATGTGCAGAGATACTGGCTCTAATTTTACCTTTACAAGTTCATCAGGGCAGGGAGGTACCGCCGGGCCGCCCCTGAGATGTGCATCTGGGATAACAGCACTGAAATGCTTGGAGCCACTGCCGTGCAGGGGCCATCAGGGAGTGAAGCAGCAGCTTGGGTTAAATATCCCCGCATATCAGGCTTGCATAGGGCCTGGAGTTTGTTTGTCCAGAGTTGCCAGCCTTCTTCAGGGGGAGGTCACTGCTGTGGCTGCTGGGGAGCCGTGCCCTGTCCCTGACCCCATGGATTCAAGGCTCCTTCTGCTGCAGGACCAATGTGATCCAGCATGAGGACCAATGTCCCTCCGGCCACCAGTCTGGCCTCATGACACAGGCCAAAGGGGCGGTGGGAGCGCTGTGCCCATGGATGCGGCTGCCCCAGTGTGGTGCTGCCCTCTGCTACCCCTTACACCACCTGCACCCACCCTGCTTCTAACCCTTGAACACGTGCTGCACCTACAGCCCTAGGCACAAGCAGGGTGAGCACACCGGCCTTGCAGCTCTGAACTGAAACCATGACAGGTTTGTTGCATTTACTTTAATCCTTCTTGGCTTGTTAACAGAAACCTGGGTCAGGAAGAGGTTTCTGGGGTCATCAAATCCAGTCTCCCATGTGCACAATGACAAGCTTGCCCAACATCCCTGCCCATCTCCATCTTAATGGCAGTTTGGACTTTTGCCCTCACTGTTGGCATCAAACAGATGTTCCTAAAGTTGCTGCACTAGTGGTTACCACTGTTGTTTAATTTGTAGTCAAATCCATTCACATCCTATTTAAAGCCATTTGTTCCTTTGCCAGGATAATTTAAATATCCTTCCTAGAGTTCACACTCTTCCCTGAGGCTTACTTACCAAAAAGCAGGCATGCTGCTTTCCAGCTTCCTTTTGGCTGACAGAAGCAGCCAAGTCTCCATTCCTGTGATTGTCCTAAGCAATCCCCTGCTTGGCTCCAGTTCATTTTTGATGGTGGGGATGCACATCCCTCCATTGAGCTAACACCCAGCAAGCCCTGCAGATGCCAGCCCTCAGCCTCAACGAGGCAAGGGTGTTTTCTCTTTCTTGTGCCCAGTGCTGCACGCCCATAGCAGCAGCACAGTGTGGTTTGGAGAACCATCATCCTTGGTCCCACCATATTCTGAGCTGCTGGCCCAGCCTTTATTCTGAGCTGCTGGCCCAGTCTTTATGTTTCTACAAAATGAAAACGTGGAAACTTCCCATCTCACCACCTTTTTTCTTGCTATCCAACTTCACATTCCTCCAAGCAAATAAGGTTTCCTAATCAGGACTCAGATAACAACAGCCGAAGAGTGCCTGGTAAATAGGAAACTGTGCGGACAGCAGCATTCAATGGCACCATTGCAAACACCAAACAAGTCACCATCACTGATCAAGAAATGGTCATCTATCCTGATATTCCACCCACCCATCCCCCACTACAAAAAAGCAACATCTCTTTTGTAATCACTTACCTTCCGCCTCGACAATAAGTTGAATTTTTGCAGCCTTTGTCCCACAGGGGTAAGTAGCAAAACTGCACTCGTACTGCCCGCTAAGGGAGACAGTAATGTTTTTCAGATGCAGAGCCCACTGACTGCATTCAGATGTGACGTTTGGATTGGAGGAACAGAAAGCCGCTGTAGCATCCCAGTCGCAACACTTCCTCGTGCTGAAGGACACCGAAAAGTTGTAAGGAGCCTCAGGGAATGTAAAGTAATGGGTGCCATAAACGGGGTGATAAACAGCTATTCTGGTAAACTCGGTGTCATCAGTCTTGGACCACTGTGTCTGTATTATGTAGGTGGTATGTGGTTTTGGGAAGCTGCACACCAGCGTCACATCAGTACCCAGCAAAGCATGGACCACTTCTGTTTCTGTAATGACGCCTTGAGGCTGGCCTTAAAAACAAATGGGACCATTTTCAGTGCAAGTAACGTTTAAACAAAACTTTCTCCTAGGCCATCTTCGACATGCTTTGCTGCCTTAGCCACAGACAACCACAAAGACCCTACAACTGTGACAACAGGCTTCCCAGCAAGGACCTTTGGAGCAGATCTCCACCAGTACAGGCTGTGGAGAGAGAATCAGGCGAGCAAATGCACGCTTCTCTGGAAGAGGGTGGGGAGCTCCTAGCATGCTCACGGGAGAGGAATGGGAACTCTCAGTGCCCCTGTGAAAATGGAAATCTTTCAAGTGATATAAATAAAGCAGAAGCTGGGCCCACTTATTCCCCGGCTCTTTTTGCAAGAACAAATGAGTTATCCCTGCTGGCTAATTCTGCCCTGCACTGTTCCCCCTGCCCACTGCCATTGCCTTTGCTGCTTCAACAGGGAAAGCTGTTCTTTTACCTCCACGTTATTAAATAGCTCCTGCATGGCCTAAATGAATGTCCGTTTCAGTGTCAGAGCGAGCTGCCCCGGTAGATATGGTTTCTTCCTCAATTAATTTCATAAAGCATGTTGGCAGTCCTTAGTGTGCCATAGAAAGGAGTAATGGATCGGCAAAATGAAGGAGCTTTCAACGTGGGCCTGTACTACTTGGTTTTGCTGCTGCCATAGTAAAATTGATTTCTCTCTCTTTCTCCCTCCTATGAACAAGAGGCTCACAGTCCCCAAACCCCTGTATGCAGGGCACTGACAGTCTCAAGGAGATGAAGAATTTATGGATGGGGGAGCTGTAGTGTGACAAGTAATCAATCACACCCACAGAGCCATGCACAAAAAGGGCCTTTTTCAAAAGGGCATGCAGGTCCTCAGAAAAAAATGAGTTCGTGCAGATGTTCTTAGGTATGGACTTGTCACCCCCCATCTCCATTGCATTTTATCCTCCCTGTCTATCAAAACATCCCTGTAAATTTGCTTTGGGAACTTGCCCCGCAGCCCCACCAGCTGTGCAGCTGCCCCCCCCACCCCCTGCCAGCAACTGCACACTGCTCACCTTCTTTACTTGAAAAAAGCAGGTACCCATTTCTTTGCTTTGACGTCTGCTCTGCTGTGTGGTGCATGGGGCCCAGGCGCCTGAACCAGGGGATGCCCTGCCAGGGGTCAGGCACCCTCAGCAGTGCCTGCAGGGGGGATGGCATGCCCTGCGCTTTGCCAGCTCAGCTGGGAGCGAGACAGGGACCCAGCATGCCCACGGCTCCAGTTTGACAGGGAAGAAGAGCAAGGGCAGAGCCCCACATCCCCACAGAGCTGGCTGAGATTTGGTGCCTAACAGCTGAAGCGTGACATGAACACGTAGAGACTGGGTGCATGGAGAACAAAGCTACTGAATGGCCACAGCCAACAGTAATCGCTGTTTTTCATGGCTGTGCATGCTTTGTTCGGCTTTTAATTGACTGCCACGAGATGGGATGATGTAAGAGGGTAAATAAAAATAAGCCTGAGTGACAAGTGCTGTGAGAAAAATTACTGAAAACTATTTTTGTCAGTCCAAGGAGCTTATTATAGTGAATGCTCACTGATTTCACTGCAATTTTTGCATCAGTAAGAGTTAAGTAAAAAGCAATAAATTTCATGATCAGACTAGCAGGCAAGGGACACCTAGCGAGTCATCTCTCATATTCAGACCATGTAAAGAATGCCTACCAAGAATTATTTGAATATCTTATATTAAGATGAAAAAGTTACATGTGTAGAAACAACATTTTAATTTGTGTTGTTTGTTAGTAACCTAGCACTTTAGGCTATTTTAGCTGAAACCCTTTCACACAGAAGTGTTCTTAACTTTTTGTTAACACCTCAATACAATTAGTCTCATTTTTTGCCAACTTAATTTTCCCAGATCAAATGCTGTCCATTAGCCCAAACTTGTGGTCCTTTTCAAATTTAAGAGAGTAGCTCCCAGACATTTAGATGTCTGATCTCCACAAAGGGCATGGTGGTGTCGCTTTCACCTTTGAGTGACTTCAGTGAGGATTTCATCCTCAGGGGAAAAAAAGCAACAGCCCTATTTTTCCCTAAATAGTATTGTTTTCCTGCATGTGCATGTCTTGAGACTTCCAGTTCTTTCTTTGCATTTGAGAACTTTCATTTTCTGTGAATGCATGTATGAAATATTTTCCTTTCTTTTAAAATCCAGTTTGCCTCAGGGACATAGAAAATAGGAACAGCGTATGCCAGATTTTGAGGTGCATCTTACCATGCCAGTCAAATACATGAACTTTTTCCTTTCCTTACTGGACAAAGACATATCCTACAAACCCCTTCTTCCTAGCTGGTAATAAGTACTCCTGCATTCATCACGGTCAGCCTGTTGGGGGGTGTGGAGGGGGTTGTAAGCATCAGGCTTTTTCTTGATTTTCCTCATCATTTTTGGTTTAAAGTCCCTCTGATGGGGATGCAGTTCTCCTTACTCAACTTTTCTGAAAGTTTTACTCCCAGTGGCAAACTTGTTCCTCAAGCCTTTAATGCAGCACATAGGGCTGGGTGGGGAAGAGGAAGGGAAGAATCTATTTAAGGGATTGCAGCTGTACAATTTATCATTGCCTTTAAGTGTTTCAGCTCTTCCTCTCCCTGCAAACACAGGTTTGTGTTATTTGCTCTTTGAAAGCAGTTTTCCTTTTTCCCCATTGGAGACGAGCACATCTTGCCCTAAATACAAGTGATCTCATCTCAGTGATTATTCTAGTGGAAACAGGTTAAGCATTTTGAATAAATTAATCTGCTAGACAGCATAAGCCATTTACTCCTTACTAGCTACACATTATAACTAGGGTTGTTAGAAAGCTGTCAGGAAACAGAACATCATTACCAGTAGCTACAGCCTGCCCCAGTGAGACATGTCAACCTCTGCCTGCTCAGGCCACCCTGCCTCTTGCCACCCTCCGTCAGAAGCCGAGTCAAGGCATCCCACCGACACCCTTACCTGCAATGCTGGGCACCGAGAGCAAACAAAAGAGGGAGAAGAGCCACCTTTTTTCCATCTTCTCTTGATGAAGTTTTGGTAAATCCGTAGCGCTCTTGGCCTGCTCCCGGCAGTGTCTTGGAAAAGAAAGTCGAAACAGTCTGCCCCGTGCAGACAGGCAGATGTGTAACACAGTCATTGCTTTAGCGTGACTTCAAAGAAATGCTTCATTAAATGCAAAAGCCTCAGTTTCCTGCCAGAGTGATAAACTTAGTACATCTTGTGAAACCTTTCTGTTGAAAACACTACCTACACTGCAAGCTGATGTTCAAGACAACTATTTTTCTTCTTTCCTTTGTTTTTTCAGATCAGCTCAGAGTAAGCAGTTCACTGGGTTAAACTCTCTTGAAAAATTGTCAGGTATCTAAATTGACTATCTGGTACATAGCGTACAAAAAAAGCTGACTTTTTTTTCCCCCTGCTTCATTTCCTTCACATTATTCCAAAATATATTCCAAATACACTATTTCCAGACTCTCTACACTCACTACCTTTTAAGCAAACAGCAAGATTACAGAGCCAAACCTCCTAAATTACAATAGAGTCAATTGAGAGTTTTCCAGATTCACTTTTAATTTTTTTTTGGTGTGGTTAAACCCCATGCTTCAGCCTGTTCAGCTGGTAGCTTTGGTGTTGGTGCGTGGCTCCAGCCAGTCCCCTGACCTGTCTTTACACAGGTCACCTGTAAATCCCTCCGAACTGTCCTCGAAGCATACTGCATTTCCATAAACTTGGCATACCCCTGCCAGCAAAGCGTCTCATTGCAGGCAGGTCTTGTGCAAATGGGACCTGCTGCTGGCAGCTTTTCAGAAAGGCAACAGGTTTGAGTTCTTGCTTATCCTGCTTCTTTCCCCAAAACTAGGAGAGCAGGGCAGCACACCTCACGTACGCAATGTAGATAGATGTTAACTGCTGGCTCTTCCCGAGATGGGATGGGTGTTTGGAAGCGCAGCTGGGCAGGAGCCTGGTTGACCCTGATGGCTGCCTCCCTGGGGTCCTGAGGACAACCCCTGCCTTGTCTCCAGGGAGAGCCGATAACAGCCCATCCGCCAGAGCAGAGACAGTGAATGGCCTGGGTGTCACAGTCCCTTAAATGGACACCTCCCTCCACCAGCAGTAGTCTCCCTTGGGTGGCTGGTCTATCTTCGGGTGATCCAGGTCCTGACATTCCTCTCCTTTTCTAGGGGGCCTGGGTGCCTTTGTCAGTCCCTTTCTTTTATGGCACCCTTCCCTGCTGCTCAGGCAAGGCCTATCGAAGCTGCCAGCCACTGGCTGCAATTTTTTTCCAAACTGTTTTCCATTTCCTCCCCAACTATTGATTTTTGCTGACCTGGAACTCCCCATAGCTCCAGCTAAGGCACAGACTTCAAGGTAAAAAAGGAAGACCTTGCTGGTCATTTCCTTATTTTATGCACTACCAGATGCAAACGACACCTATGCAACTTCCCTAATTTGTGCACGTGCAATCTTTTGGTAGCGAGTTTAAGCTGAAACAGCTGGTAATGCTGGCCAGGCTGCGGTCAGGCCTCTGGACACGTCCTGGAGGATAAGCGCTGCGGCATGGTTCCTTTTTTGTTTGCCTTGTTCCCCTATCTGAGGAAACGCACTAAAAGCAGCCATGGTAAATGCGCCGGATGCCCAGGTTACTGCTAAGGGAATACTCTCTGGGGACAAAATATCTCCTTGTCACTCAGAAGCCTGACGGAAAAATATCTGTCTCGGAGGATAAAGAAGTCCTGAAGTTGAGGATGATCAGAATATTCAAGCCCTTGTAATGGACAGCTACAGCAGGGAGTAAAAATACTAAAGCTGTGTGCTCTGGTTTCCAGTTCAGAGCAGAGACCGCAAAGAACCTGGAGATTATCTGCAGAGATGAAAGTCCAAGCAAATCAGACTTCAGTCTAGAATTTGGGCTTTCATTCATGAGTGCAGTTACCTTAGCTTCCCCTGCTGACCAGTTCACGCAAGCTTTGCACCATGAGAGAATGTATTCTGTGTAACATGGGGAAAAAAAAAATCTCACATGAGTCTTTTTACTGATCTGAAACATACATCACAATTCAATAAGAGAGCCCAAGTGCCGTGTGGTATATTTAATAGCCACAGAAATCCCTGAGCAGCTTATTTGAGTCACTAGATTGCCATGTCTTGCCCTTAGAATTTGTTTCCCCCCCCAAAATAACGTCCTAAAAATATACTTCTGCCATGTTGCATTGTGTTGGCTGAATGCAGCCACCCGGCGTTGTTGCTGAGCTTAGTGATGAAAGACAGAGAAAAGAAAGAAAACTCCCAGCTCGATGGATTTTGTTCGCTTCAGAGCTGTGTTTTGCCCCGATTCCTACCTGAAGCCCCAAATCTGAAATAGTCATTCACCCTGCTGCTGACATTGATGTGCATGAACAGCTAAGGCCTGCCTATGCATACAGCATCAAAAAACATCTGAGGCACATACCACTAATCTCAGCCTGCTGGCAGGGAGCCATCTCTTCCCTCGAGCCGGACACAAGGTCCCACTTACAAGCAATGCAAATTATTATGAGAGGTTCCTTGTCTGTCCCCTCGCCCCCCCGCCCCTTTCCTGAAAAGTTACTCACAGGCAGCTTGGTAGGTGCCATGCTGGGTTGTTATACACCATGTTATGGGTGGTGGGGATGAGAGGAGGTACTGACACATCCTCAGCGGGCAGCAGACCTCACTGGTAACCAGAGAGAGGACATATCTGTAATGGGCTTTTCCCTGGTGGGGCAGCTGCAGGGATGTTTTTCTGAGTCGGGATGCACAGGTTTTCCCATCATGTACATACCCTTCCGGAGAGACCCAGAAACCACTGCAAGGCTGGGAGGTTTTAAAGGAAAAGAAGCTCTGCCCAGGCAAGAGGCGCATGTTGTCAGGGGATATGTGAGCCACGACGTTTTCTCTTGGGCTGGACAAGCAGTTGGCCTGATTGGTCCTGGTGGGTCCCTGTGTCCCAGGTGATGACAGCGCTGGTGGGGGCAGATGGGCTCTGGGCACCCCTGGGGAGGGGGCCCTGGCCGTGCACTGCAGCGCGGGGCTCTGCCCGCTGCTCAAGGATGCCTCTGCTGCCTCAGGTGACATTAATTTTTTTCCCCTTGGGTGGGAGTGGGGGGTGGCAGTGGGGGGTCCTCTAATTATTTTCTGCTGCTCTGTTCACCACTGGAGGAGGCATTTGGAGCACAACAAATGACTCTTTCCATGGCGATCACCCCTATTACGCGTCATGCTCACAAAACCCTCAACTGCAATACAATTCTACCTCAATTACAGTAAGCTGCACCTAAGGAAGAAGCAGAGCTGCAGTCAGCCCCACAGACTTGAACTCCAGAGACAAATTCAATTATTCACAAAGAGAGCCTTTTCAGAAATGCTGGTGCGTGAGCTTTTCCTGCCAGAGGCGAGGATGATTACCCTTGCAGACGGGTGTCCTCTAAACATTGCTTAAAGAAAGCGTTGCTCCCCAGTGAAAAAGAGATGGAGACTTTGAAGCAGGAATTTCATTAAAGAATAAACTAACCTTTCAGGTTTGCTTGGCACAGAAACTGCCACTTTGTCATTGTGTTTTGGTTTTGAACTTCTTTGAAAACTGTACTAATGACTCTGTAGCTGGCAGGCAACTTTGGCCACGGCACCTCACGGAGGGGCAGACGAGTGGGTGGCACAGGCTGGGGGGGTGGCATGGCAGGGGGCAGGGCACTGGAGTGCCAGGGGGATCCCAGATCCCCACCAGGCTTTTCCAGTGACCCCCTGCTTCCTCCATCTTCCTGTGCTTAGCTCTTGTGCCTCTCGCCTGCTTGCAGTCCTGTCCCTTCTGCATGGGGAGGAGAGGGCAAGCGGTTTCTCACTCTGTTTCCTCCTCCTCCTCTCTCATGGCTACACACGGATGCCTGCATGCTGTGTTTGACATAACGCAGCCCCGATTTCAGCTGGGGTGTTTAAGCAGCATGGCAAGGCGTACGTGCTTCCCTCTCAACAGCAATTTTTTTCAGCTGAAATATGTTTAAAGATCTGAATGGACTTTTCATCCCTTCTTCCTCACTGACAGCTTGGAGTATGCTCAGCCCTGGCTACATCCCTGCTCCAGCCCCGCCTGCCTTGGCACACCAGGGCTGCTCCATCGCCTTCCCCAGCTCCGCTGCCGCTCCTGGTCCTGACACCAGCAGAATTTAAGATGGTCCTTTCTACAAATGTTTCATCTGCCATTAAGTCCTGCTGACATTTTGGAGGGCCAAATCCAACTGGACGACAGCTCTTTAATTATGCCTTTTGCTCATCCCACTGTTGAATACTGCTACCTTTGCTTTGTAAACAGAGAACCTCCTTTTGAGCAACCTCGCCCAAGACTGCGAGTCAAAATGAATGGATAGGCAAGGACGACTGCCCTTAAATCCTCTCTTCTTGCTGTCTGTGGGAAAAATGTCTTTGTGACCACTCCGTGTTTCTCAAGCCTTTCAGATAAGGCAAGAAGGCACCTTTTGGGAAAGCAGGAGGATCACAGGGAGTGATCCAGGGCTGGGTTCCTCTGCGTGCACATCTCCGACTCTCCATTTCTGTGAAATAAGAAAGGGACTGCAAAAGCTGGCAGCAGTTTTTCTAATTAGAAGGCCTAACTCACAGGTCATGTTTTCAAGAAAGAGAGCATATGTTTGGGGATAAACTGAAGAGAATCGGATCCCTCACCTTCTCTACCATTCCAACCACAGGTCCCTGTGGTCCTCTGCTCTCATTTAATGCCATTTCTGATCAGCAGTGCTCTGTCAGCGTAAGCTGTTGAACACTGCACTGTGCAAAGTGCAAGTTACTGAAAAAGCAGAGTATAAAAAGCGCAACCAACTAACAAAACAAATATAAAGCACGTGGACCAACAAATATACACCAGTGAAAAACCACTGTGTGAAAGCCAGCCAGCCATTTCCAAAAAAACTAAAGACTATACAGAGTCATTATTTTCAAAATTAAATGGAAGGCACATGTGAGACCAGCCCTGCTTTCTTTGGTTGCTCTCTTTTCCAGCTACAGCACAACCCATGCTTTCCCCCTGTTTTGCACAGCATCAGCTAAGGCTTTTCA